TGAGAGGACGACGAAGTCCTGTCGAAGACTTGTGTTGTGGTCTCGAGGCTAACTCGTCGTCTGGACGTGTTTAGCAAATGCAGATGCGTGCATGCGATCGAGTATCGTGTAAGTGGACGTTGGAATGGATGCACAGGCGAATGAACGAGTCGGAAGACGTGGTTTGTCGCTAAATTTAAGACAAAGTTCCCCGGTGCGTGTATGTATGTATGAGAGACGGGTGGATGAACGGGGCGCGTGTCTTCGTGATGTGTCAGCCAGCAGACACGTGACTGCTCGACCTGACAACTCTTACTATTGTTACTACTATTATTACTGCTATTACTATTTTATCACTGTAGGATGTAACAACTATTCTTGCTATCGAAAGTATCGACGCCCAAGCAATGAAGGTGGACCCGATTCCTCGGCGAATCGTCGGGCAAACTACAGAGAAACGGCAGTGAAACAAACGATAGATTTCCCTTTTCGTAAGAGAAACGCGAACGAGCGCGGTGGCATCACGGAGGATTCATCATGGAGTGTGTTATCAACTGGTAATTCCATGTGCTACGCTATTTCTCGTAAACGTGCACAAGATAATCGACAAAAAAAGAAACAAAAAAAAGAAAGAAATAATCCCATGCACACGTTATACACGTATCATACGTACACCTACACACGAATTTTTATCACTTTTCTACCTACTTTGTACAAGTCGCTGCGTCAACGAACAAACCTACGTTTGTTTCATTGCTCGTGCCGTGTCGATCGTTCCCGACGATTCGTCCAATCGGGGCGAAATTCCTCTCTTCTTTCGGTGAACAAACGTACTTACTACTCGTCGAGGAGAAAGAAGAGAGACGAGTCGCAACATATCAGAGCAACGACGGAAGAGCGGAGACAAAAGTAGATTGCCACACGCGTTACGTTACTAATTGATATATTCCTTTGTCCACTCTGTGTCCCACTCCTAAACCACGAATCTCGCTCTTCCGTGTTGATAGTTTAGGTATACGTAGGTCGTGACTGTGATCACACTCGAACGTCGCGATGATGCTAAAGAGAACTGTCGGCAGAAAAAAAAAAAAAAAAAAA